GGTGGCCGGTGCGGGGCGCGGCCCCGCGGGGTCCCCGGGCCCGGTCGCTGCCTGCGGGCGTCCAGCGGCGCTTCAGAAAGGACAAACGCAAATTACCGGAGTGACGGGGAACGAACGGAGAAGGGGAACCGCGGGGTTTAAAGTTCCGCACTCTGAAATACGCGACCAACGTCACGGATAGAGGGCAAACCCGCCGGGAATTCTGTCTGCCCGAGCTGCAGAACGTACGGGCTTCAGTGCTGTGCGAGCAGGAGCCGCCGTCAGTCCGGGGAACAGCGAGCGGAGCCAAACCTGGGCGGCCTGGGCAGGAGCTCGGCAGAGCGAGTCCTTGGCTGAGGCTTCCCGTGCAGACAAGCAGGGAGCGCTCCCAGCCCGGGAATTCGGAGCCTGGAGGTGCTCAGTGTGGTGGGAAGTGCCTCAGAGCCAGAGCCAAACCCCTTCCTGATCCTGGCCCACTGAAGGCACGGGGTTGCAGCAGGGACGGGTTTAACTCAGCCTCTGGAGTTCCCATGTGCTTGGGAATCTCTGAGGTGGAGAATTGTCTCCCTCTCCAGCACATGGAGGGCACCGATACATTCAGTCCTCTCGGGACGGGTATTTCTGCTCTTCCATGACAGCGTCAACTCCTCTCCCTGTGTTCACAAACACACCAGCCCCACGGCTCCCTGGCACGGGGCTCCTGACGGGTTTCCGAGTCAGAATGAGCTGGACGGAGGAAAAGTGGATTGTAAATAATGAGGAACAAGGGAAGTGCAGGCAGGAGTTGGGCTGTTGGGGATCCACCTCTCCAGGTGGTGACTCCTGGGGAAAGGTCCAGGAGTGAACAAAGGGTATGACAGACTCCAGCTCTCGGCCTGGATGCCTGGACTGTCCCAACAGCTTTGGCAAGTGGGAGCAGAAACCCCCTGATTGGTTCCCCGGGCACAGGTCAGACCCCTGTGGCCCCTAATGCTTCCCCAGAACCAGGACTGCTCAGTGGGGGAACTGTCCCCTTTCTGCAGGGACAGTGCTGGTTTGGTGACCTTCTTGGGAAGCAAATGCTGACACGGCTACTGGGCCACTATTTCCTCGAAATCTGAGAGCTGCTGCATCTGCTCTGTGTGCTCCGAGTGTCTCCGGAGGAGCTTCCTCTTGGCTCGCAAGTCGCCCCGTCTGGGTGAGCTGGGAGCGACGGGGACCAGGGACTTCAGGCCAGCGGCAAGCGGAGAGGAGGCTTTACTGTTGGAGCCAATGTCAGGGATTGGGGGGCTGGGGTTCACGTTGAGGGGGGGCAGATAGCCTGGCCTCATGTGGGAGATGTGGTCCAGCAGCAGGGTCCCAGACCCCCGCCTCTCCAGCAGGCTGGGCGGGCGGGGCC